CATCATTAAGTATGATGCTAGCCATAGAGTTACCATGTTGTTGTTGTTGCTAAGTGCCATAGAGTCAGTTCTGACCCACTGCTACCCTGTATAGGGTTTCCAAGAAGCAGCTGGTGAGCTTGAGCCACCCACCTTGTGGTTCAAACTGACTTTGCAGTCCAGCACATTAGCTCACAGTGCCACACCAGGACACCATAGAAGCCCTGGACTATTTCTGTCTATTCTTAGTTTGTACAGTGATTTTCATGAGAGGGTATTAGTATTATCAAATGTTAAGTTGCTATGAGTTGGAATCGACACAACAGATCTTAACAATTCCCTTCAATTTCCTTTCCTCAAATCACAAAATCCTCTTGAAAAAATCTTACATCTCCCTTTAAATTCTCAAGGAATTTGCCTTATCATTCATACAGTTCTTATAATACATTGCCAAATATTGCTTCTTCTTCACTTCTTTCACTGGAGTGAAAATCCCTCATTTTTAGCTTTGTGCTTACTTTTATAAAAATATTTTAGAAAATGTGATGTTAGAAAGCTATTAAGAATAAGTCCCATTATCTCAAGGGGCATATAATCTATCTAGAAAGTAAGACAATGAATCAATATAAGACAAACAGGCAAATAACAAAAAAAATTAATGTAACTGTGTTTTTTCAAATTTTAATCAGTATGATTTAGTCTCCTGGGAAGCAGGTATTAATATGTATTCATCTTTAAGCAAGTTTTGAAAAGTTGGCTCTCCAAAATATTCTTTCAGGAATTCACAGTGTACCTTAGCACTGTGAGAAGACAAGCAGTGATAAAGTAGCTTCACTTCTGCCATTTCTCCTTTGATGTTGATCACATGGTATTTCAATGAGATACTGAAATACTGTTTATGAACTTCCATGTGAATAACCTAAGGACCCCTAGAGGCACAAGTAATTAAGCACTCAACTACTGAAAGGTTGGTGGTTTGAACCCACCAGCCACTCAGTGAAAGAGAGATGTGGTAGTCAGCTTACGTAAAGATTATGGGGCAGTTCTACTCTCTGCTACAGTATTGCTATGAGCTGGAATGGCACTGAGTTTGGGTTGGTGAATACGTTCTGTTAGTTTCTTATTTAGCAATGACTTTGGAAGTACATTTTTAAGGAAAAAAATATCAGATTGGTTTGACATCCAAGGTCCAGACAGGAGGCACTCTGCACTTATTATATATGCCTAGAATAATAGTCTAACAAATACTAATTTGTCACTTACAATGTGCCAGTCAATACAGAGTAAACTCATTTAATTGTCATAACAATCCTATGAAGTAAGTTGCCATGATCAGTCTATTTTGCATGGCAGTTGAGGCATGTTGTCACTGTTGTTAAGGTCCCATCAAGTCAGTTATCACTCATTAGTGTGACCCAATGCAAAACATAACAAAACATTGCTCGATCCTGAGTCATCCTCATAATTGTTGTATCAGTCCAATGTTAGTGCAACTGTGTCAATATATCTTGTTGGAGTCCTCCTCTTTTCCACAGACCCTCCAGTTTACCATGCACGATGTCTTCCACAAACTAGTCCCTCCTAACAACAAAGTACAAGAGACAACGTCTTGCCATCCTTGATTCTAAGTAGCATTCTGGTTGTAATTCTTCCAGACAAATGAGTTTGATTTTCTGGCAGTCCATGGTGTTTTCAATATTCTTCTCCAATACCGTAATTCAAATGCATGGATTCTTCTACAGTCTTACTTATTCATTGTCCAACCTTCAGAAGTATATGTGGCAACTGAAAGTACCATGGCTTGGGTCAGGTGTACCTTAGTCCTCAAATCTTTGCTCTTCAACACTTAAAAATGTCTTGCACAGCAGATTTGCCTAATAAAATACATTGTTTGATTTCTGAACAGCTGCTTCCATGAATGTTGATTGGGGACCCAAGCAAAATGAAGTCTTTGACAACTTCAATCTTTTCCTTAACATTTTATTGGTCCAGTTGTGAGGATTTTGGTTTTCTTTACATTGGTAGAATCCATAATGAAGGCATGGGAGAGCTAAACAATTTACTTAAGGCTACACAGAGTCCTGGTGTGGCACTGTGGGTTAAAGCACCAGACTGCAAAGCCGTTTGAACTGCAAGGCCGGCAGTTCAAGCCCACCAGCTGCTCCTCGGAAACCCTACACAGGGTCATTATGGGTCGGAACCGACTCAATGGCACTTAACAACAACAACAACACAGTTAATAATGGCAGGGCAAGGTGGGAAGGAAGGGAGTACGGCCAGAGCGACCCTTGTTGACACTATGTGACTCCACTGTCCAATGCTTCAGCTTCTTATGATCAGTGATATGTGCTCCAAACTACTCTAGTGCAAACTTCCTGTGTTTATACCTAGGCCTTAGGATGTTCTGAGGTCACTACCCTCCTTTTTAATATGAGAAAATAGAGGCCCAGAGTAACTACGAAAAGATTGTAAACCTGAGAAGAAAGTTCATAGATGCTACACTAGGAGTTGAGGTTACAGGTTAAAATAAATAACAACAAAATAGTACCAGTCATCACGGGACTCATGGTGAAATAAGGAAATAGACAACTAATTCCAATGATAACTATCGTTGTTGTTGTTAAATGTTGTTGAATCAGTTCCAAGGGTTTCTGATAAGCAGCTGGGGAGTCTGAATTGCCCACTTGGCAGTTATTCTACAGCGCCACACCAGGACTCCAGTGGGTACTGGAGACAAAGAAGATCATGCGAACATACTGGATATATAAGGAATAGCTTTTCAAAAATAAGCAAGGTTACAAAAGCAAGAGTAAGGATTTGCAGAATGAAACAACTGGATGTAACTTTCAGAAGAATCTTATCTGCATCACGAGACATGAAGTGGAATCGGGCACATCTAGAGACAGAAAGATTCCTGAAATTCTTAACTGAATGTCTACTGTGAGCCAAAGATTATAAGAGGGATACTGTCAAACTCTTGGAGAGAGATACTAAATCCCTGGTTAATCTGGTCAATAAGAAGTAACAGATTAGAGATACATTATATATATAACAATAGATCTCAAACTCAGAACCCCAAGTGTTGGCTCAGGGGTTGAAAGAGCAGCCCATGTGATTCAGAAGGGAATGGAACCCAGTGTTTATTTATTTATTTATTGTATTTTTTGGAGGCAGTGGAAGAGGGGAGAAGATCAAGTAACTAGAAAGTTGCCCAGCAGTTATGGAAAAAGAAGTTATAAGTCAGGAGGGAAGGTGAAAGCAAAGATGCATGACTGATGGTAGTTGCGGTTAATAAAGCAGATATATTTACCCAGGAGGAGGGTTGAACAAAAGGAGTAAAAGTAAAACCTTTAAGGGCATTAATATTAACGGGACTATTTATGAAGAAGATCAATAAAAAGACTGAAGGCGCTGCCAGAAAGACAGAAACAAACCCTCAACAAGCCGCCTCACAGAATATAAACTGATTTCCAAGCAAGCTAGGACACAACTGGCGCACTTGCCATAAGGTGGGAAGGAGGGGGAGGAGTAAAGGAAGTATCGTCTTTATTGATGGTGATGTTGTTGTTGTTGTTGTTGTTGTGCCATGGAGTTAGTTCCTACTCATAGCGACACTGTACAGGGTTTCCGAGGCCGTAAATCTTTACGGGAGCAGAAAGCCTCATCTTTCTCCCACAGAACAGCTGATGGTGATAGCGTCTTTTAATACAAAACAGATTTCTTACATCAAAAGTAAAGGAAGACCATCTTTAAGGATAGCTTATTTCTGAAGTGGAAATAAAAGATTTTCTAAAAATCTTTAGAAAAAAAAGAATGTCTAAATGCTAGAAAATATAGTATTTTTACCAAGAATGTATGTCCTGTTGTAATCTTGGCCTTAGGTTACAAGAGAGTCAAAAGTGTCAGAGTTTTAATTGGTTCTACCATTATTTGATGAGAGACACCTATTCTTTTAAGCATTAAGTTTTGTAATCTCTAAAACAAGGATGTTGTATTCAATAATTCTTTAAGTTCTGACATTATAAGATTTTAAATAATCTAAGTAAAAGCTAATTCAAGAGATGACTATTACAAACTACCAAAAAATTAGCAACACACTATACAGACATTATATACAACTCAATAGAAAAACAGAACAAAACAAAAGTATTAGAGTAACTTGAGAAAACTGAATTCCTAGATGCAGTCACAGTAAAAACAACAGTCACCTTCTAGATAATAAATTACAAAACATCAGAATTCTTTCTACTGAAAACAGGAGGAATTTACACTTTAAAAGAATGAGTCTGCGACATCTGAAAAGCAGACCCGCTGGAAGAATAAGACACTTGTTCATCTGCAGTTCTGTGACTTTTCTCACTTGGTATTATTTGCAACTGTACTTTTATGTCTGGCAGCAGTGCCAACTTCAGAATGAATCATATATTATTTTTATCATGTTGATTACATGTGTTCACCAGTTTAGCTGTCCCTATATGCTTGGTGTGGTTTGCAAATAGTCAGTGACAAAATCCAGAGCACAGCATTTTCACAGAAAGTGTTTACTGTGAAATTTCTCCTTAGAAGTTTGCTTTGCTTTACAGCTTTGATCCATATGACATCCACAGTCCTACATTTCAAATAATGGCTTACACTTAAATTAAGAAAATGCATTCACTTTTGAGACACATCATGACGACAGTAGGATGTGGTGGTTCACGAGAGGACCTCATTTTCTGAAGTGATTAGAGACTTGGTCAAATTTAAAGTCTGCTAAAATTTTCCAAAGTGCACGTCTTCAATTTTATGGTGACTTGGTAGTTACATTCTGTTATTCATCAACACTTCACAGAAATACTTGATTTGTCTGAATGAATTTAAAAACCCACAACTGAAGAAAATCAGAAAAACCTGGTTTTAAATATCAAAAGGTCCTGAATGAAAAGTATTTCTACAGGCCACACTAGGCAAGTTTTATTGATCAGTGTACTTTTTTGGAGGCTGAAACTGTTGCAAGATTGAACATAAGAAAATAAACTTACTGGTAAATATCTTTCCTCAGGACACATCTGCCAAGAGGATTGTCAGCCTGGGGAGCCATGGCAACAGAGCCAATCTTTACAACCATGGTGTCTTCCTTCCCTGCCTGGTGATCTGTAACAAAAGAAAGAGGCTAATGATGTATAATTTGGGTCTGTATGTCATGTAAGGCAGAAGGAGGAGAATTATTTGGGAAATGGGGCTAAAAACACATTAACAAACTTGGAAAGTAGAAGTAAAAATGTTTAAAATGAAAATATTAGATCCTGTCCATTTCCTTTATATCCCCATTAAGTAGTTTTCTGATAAAATGGAATAAAAATAAAAAAAAAGATTAAAAAAGGCCTCACTACCAACATCAAAACATATGATTAAAAAATATGTGCGTGTATTTGTGTGATACAAGTGTGTGAATAGTACTGGAGATATGTTTAGTAATTTCAACCTATCCAACTGGATAGGTTGTTTTTCCAAAGTGATTTTCAGTTATGGGCTTTTGACACTCCATTATTGTCTACAAATATATTAAAAGACATCACAAATCAGTCACAAATTCGAAAAGCAATTTAAATTAGCAAAATTAATATTAATGCAATATAACACACTCATAGTATAGTACTTTAAGATATAAAATGTCAGAAAACCCAAAACAAAAGCAACGGCTGCAATGGTGACAGATTGATTCTTATAAGGAAATTTCTATATACTAACTGCTGTCTATTGTAAAATTACTTAACTATAGAGAGCTTTGTTGTTGTTGTTAAGTGCCGTTGAGTCGGTTCCGACCCATAGCGACCCTGTACAAGGTTTCCGAGGGTGTAAATCTTTACGGGAGTAGAAAGCCTCATCTTTCTCCCGCGGAGCAGCTGGTAGTTTCGAACTGCTGATCTTCAGGTTCGCAGCCCGATTCGTAACCACTACACTACCAGAGCTCCTTACAGAGAGCTTACATCTGTGTAAAAACTCTACTTCCTAATAACTCTAAACTAAGGTAAAATACCTTAAAATATAAGTAAAAGGTAGAAAGATATGTCAATTCTGACTCAGTACCAAATAAAACAATCTATTTAACAATCTATTCTCATTTTATGAAGCTTAATACTTTTTCTATAGCTCACCACCTAATTAAAAATGTTTTCTAAGGAATAATGGGACTGGATAGGAGTTCTTGATGAGTCTGTTCATATTAAATTTTCTCTTCTTCTTTAAGAAGAGTCATTTAAAAGCTGGTGGAAATTGCTTAGGTTTTTTGTTTTAATGATATATAATTTCCTGGGCTCTAAAGAATCAAATTAAAATTAATAATTTCTTTCAGTAAATAGATGATCAGAAAGACTGAGCTTCAAGACTTCAGAAATATCCTCAACACACCAAGCCTACAAGGACATACAAGCCATATTTCCCAAACTCTGGTGCCCAAAGAATGCAAAAGCTAGGAGATTATTTCCAGCTGCTTCAGCAGTATACTTGGTAGGGTCTGACTTAGATTAGTCCAAAAAAGAAAGTTAGAATTAAGAAAGTCAGAAAAGTAAGAAGAAAGATATTTAGTGTGTGAAAGGAGGTGCCAGAATAAGATGAACATAAAGGGGATGGGGAAGGTCAAACAGAGAGAGAGAGAAAAAGGGTGTGTATGTGGGGGGAGGGGAGGACAGAGAATAGCAAAAGGGGAAAAAGAGACAAGTTATTATAATAAATATTAGCATATGGATGCCACAATAAAGACAATACTTTTAAATGTGCAAAGCAAAGAAGATCAAATAGAAAATTGCTTCTCATGCAGCTGCACTATTTTCAAATGACTAGAGGCCTGGCTTGATTATAGGTCCTTAGACTATGAACATTGTTTACATTTCACAGATCTTGCATTTTATGCCAAGCTTATCAAATAGTTCCATGTGGGCAAGTCTCTGATTAAGCAGCAGGCATCAATTAAATCAATACATAGTAAGCCTGGGAAAAGACCTTACCACAAAAGTGCAATTAGTGTACTTGCTAACTGTTCTTCCAGGCTACAGATACTACCCACCATATGAAAGTCTGAACTGGAATAGAAACACTGCAGTAAATGAGCTACATATGCAAGAAAAATGACGTACTTGGTGTTACACAGAAAGCCAGATCCAAACACAGAATTCTGTTTCTGTCAGAGTCAAAAGTGTTCTCACTAGATTATACTAACAATGAAGTTATATTAAATAAAAGAGACACATAACGTAGACCATTCACAATCTACATTCAAATAATAGTATTAAATATTCAGCTTATCACAACATATCTTTTAGATATAAGAAAAAA